GTCCACAGCCACCCCTCTGTCCAAGTATACCACGTCCACAGCCACCCCTCTGTACAAAGTTTTGCTCACCTCCTCATAAAAAGAAATCAGATTTGTTTGACAACTTCTGTCTTTCATGAATCCATGCTGTCTGTTGCTTAAAATATTTTTTTCCAGCAAGAACTCATCTATGTGGTCTTTTATTAAACTCTCCAGTATCTTCTCAACTATAGAAGTTAAACTAACAGGTCTATAATTACTTGGTAAAGATTATGACCCCTTTTAAAATATTGGTACCACGTTGGTCTTACGCCAATCCAGTGGTACTATGCCAGTCATTAAAGAGCCCCTAAAAATTAGAAACAATGGCTTTGAAATGACAGAGCTCAGTTCTTTAAGAACCCGTGGGTGCATGCTATCTTTGGTTTGAATCCCAACCATGACATTACCTACATAAAGTTCACATGTTCTCCCTGTGCCTGCGTGGGTTTCATCCCACACTCCAAAAACATGCTGGTAGATTAATTGGCTCCTGTCTAAAGTGGCCCTGGCATATGAATGTAAGGACCTTAGATTGTAAACTCATTGAGGGTAGGGACTGATGGGAATGTGCAATATATATGTAAATTGTCAGCACTATATAAATACCTGCAATTCATTTTCTGCATATTAGATCTTTGTGGTCTGCATAGCCGGGGCTGTGGCAGGGATGTGTCCTTAGTCTACATACCATGTGCTAAAAGCTGTCCTTCTTTATCATTTCAGTAAGTTGGGAGGTACACTATAGTGCCAAGAATTACAAAGTGCTTTACATATATTGTCCATTGACATCAGTCCCTGATGTCAAGGAGCTTACAATCTATGGTCTGTATTTCACATATGTACATATATTAGGGCCAATTTAGACAGGAGCCAGCCTGTATTTGGATTTGTATCTGGCGGCACTGACTGGCACTGATGGGTGGCACTGACTGGCACTGATAGGCAGCACTGACTGGCACTGATAGGCAGCTCTGATGGGCACTGATGGACACTGGCATGTGGCATTGATGGGCACTGACAGGTGGCAATTATGAGCACTTGCAGGTAGCACTGATGGGTCTACAATGATCATTGGGGCATTGATCATCAGTGCCCTGATGATCAGTGTAGATGTCCCCTCTGAGGAATGCCGCTTACCAGCTCTCCTCTCCTCACACGCTGTCAGCATGAGGAGAGAACTGCCAATAACTGGCATTAACTATTTACATGTGATCAGCTGTGAATGGACACAGCTGATCACATGATAGAGCCGATGTCATCGGCTCTTTACTCTGATCAGTGATCTGCTGTATCCCAGGGAGGAGCGCATGTGCAGCTAGAGCGGGAGGACGTCATATGACATCCTCCCAGAATGAAAGAACCGCCGCCCTCCCGTCATTTCCTCATATGTCGGGCAGGAGGTGGTTAGGAGCTTTTTTTTATTGTAGATTTTAGTTCAACTTTAAGAGTCATTGCCATTGAGTGTTCTTGGTGCATACATCATTCTGTAAAATACACACCAAGAAAATTCTATGGACAGGACCCACAAGTATATCAGACCTGGTGCCCAGAAAGCTGGCCCATAGAATGGCTTACAGTCAGATAAAACTGAACAGATATCTCACATACAATATTCTGACATGCAAGGTGAAAAGGCAAAATGGTGATATTGTATCTCCCTTCAAACTTTCATCATTTGTATTGACCTTTTGTTGTGCTTCTATTTTAATTATAATATATTATTGTCTTATAGATGAAAGCTTTCTCTGCTACACAGTACATGAGCCTATTGGAGTGTGCGGGGCCATTACACCGGTAAGTACCCCTTGTACCCCTTACCTGTCCCGTTACACAGTACATGAGCCTATCAGAGTGTACGGGGCTATTACACCAGTAAGTACCCCTTACCTGTCCCTTTACACAGTACATGAGCCTATCGGAGTGTGCGGGGCCATTACACCAGTTAGTACCCCTTGTACCCCTTACCTGTCCCGTTACACAGTACATGAGCCTATCGGAGTGTGCGGGGCCATTACACCGGTAAGTACCCCTTGTACCCCTTACCTGTCCCGTTACACAGTACATGAGCCTATCAGAGTGTACGGGGCTATTACACCAGTAAGTACCCCTTACCTGTCCCTTTACACAGTACATGAGCCTATCGGAGTGTGCGGGGCCATTACACCAGTAAGTACCCCTTGTACCCCTTACCTGTCCCGTTACACAGTACATGAGCCTATCAGAGTGTACGGGGCTATTACACCAGTAAGTACCCCTTACCTGTCCCTTTACACAGTACATGAGCCTATCGGAGTATGCGGGGCCATTACACCAGTAAGTACCCCTTGTACCCCTTACCTGTCCCGTTACACAGCACATGAGCCTATCGGAGTGTGCGGGGCCATTACACCAGTAAGTACCCCTTGTACCCCTTACCTCTCCCTTTACACAGTACATGAGCCTATCGGAGTGTGCGGGGCCATTACACCAGTAAGTACCCCTTATGTCCCTTTACAGTACATGACCCTATCGGAGTGTGTGCGGGGCCATTTACAGTGTGTGGGGGTAAGTACCCCTTGTACCCCTTACCTGTCCCTTTACACAGTACATGAGCCTATCAGAGTGTGTACGGGGCTATTACACCAGTAAGTACCCCTTGTACCCCTTACCTGTCCCTTTACACAGTACATGACCCTATCGGAGTGTGCGGGGCCATTACACAAACAAAAAACAAAAAGTGAAACCGATCAAATAGCAAACAAATGAATATACTTATGCAAGCTGCGGCACAAGATGTACAGCATATTATACATAGAAATACAGGCGTACCTCGGTTTACGAACGCCTTGGTTAACGTAATGTTTGGTTTACGAATGAAAATCCATTGAAAATAATGCCTCAGTTTACAAATTTTTTACAATTTTTTTTTTACAATATAAAGTGTATGTTGGTGCCGATTTTTAAATGCAATTGCCGGCTTTTTTTTTTTCCTTCACTACAGCTCACAGAATTAGCTGTCACTTTCCCCGGAGCTAAAGGATACTTTCTTTCTTTTATCTCGGGAAACACTAAAAGGGAACATTGTTTCTTTTAACTCGGGAAATAAACTAAAAGGAAACTTTCTTTCTCTTTTAGCTGGGGGGGGGGGGGGGGGAAGTGACAGCTGATTCTCTGAGCTATAGTGAAGAAAAAAAAAAAAAGACGATAATTACATTTAAAAACTGGCACTGACCTATATTGACAGTTACTTTTTTTTTTTTTTTTACTTTTTTCTGACTTACGGAATGGATTAATTGGTTTTCAGTGCATTCCTATGGGAAAACCGCGCTTCGGTTTACACAAATTTTTTGCAGTATGAAACCGTCCCAGAGAACGCATTAAATTCGTAAACCGAGGTACACCTGTACCTCAATAAATACTAAAATGCTGTGCAGAAATTAGGTGCAATACAAATAATAATGGGCAGCACAGTGGCTAAATGGTTAGCACTTCTGCCTGGCAGTACTAGGCTCGCTGGTTCGAATCCCAACCCTGGCACCACCTGCCTGGAGTTTGCATGTTCTCCCTGTGCCTGTGTGGGTTTCCTCCGGGTACTCCGGTTTCCTCCCACACTCCAAAGACATGCTGGTAGGTTAATTGGCTCCTGTCTAAATTGGCCCTAGTATGTATAAATGTGAGTTAGGGACTTTAGATTGTATGCTCCTTGAGGGTTAGGGACTGATGTGAATGTACAATATATATGTAGCTGCATAAATTGACAGCGCTATATAAGTACCTGAAATAAATAAAAGTGAATCATCAGATAAACATTTCATGCAAATAGTGTGAATGATGTCAAAAAGTCCAGCACCAACAAAAACTTCAAATGGTATGAAATGGAGTCTCCATGTGTCATAATTTCCCTCATTGAAGAACATGGTGACGTCACAACCTTCAATTCTGAAACCGAAGGTCGTGACGTCACCTTGTTTTCCTTTGCATTGCATTGTAGGACTTGAAGTCCTTGTGAACACCAATCCGCTTGTATGTTTTTAGTGTTTTACATGTAATATCATCCTCAAGGATTTTTACACTATGCAAGCCAGGTGCTCTATTTTTTAAATTCCTGGGACCGTGAGTTGTGGTGGATCTGTTTGAAGATATGTGAGTTTTGCACACAAGTGCTTTCTGACCTCCCCACGACAGAAAGTCACATGTTGATAAGCTGACATGGGCCTGGATTGTTTCTTGGATACACAGAATATAACTGGATATAACATTTATAGGTAAAGTTGATCCAGGGAATATCTGATTGCCATTCGGGGGATCAGGAAGGAACTTTTTCCCCTGCAGAGCAAATTGGATCATGCTTTGCTGGGTTTTTTTTTGCCTTCCTCTGGATCAACTGTGGGTGTAGGATTATAACTTTTTTTTTTAATGGTTGCACTGGATGGACTTTTGTCTTTTTTCAGCCAGACTAACTATGTAACTATGTAAAAATTTAATAAATTAAAAAAAAATAAAAAACTGCAAAACATCAGAAATGTGGCAAAAACGCAAGGGCAAAAATGAAAAACGCAATGCAGAAGTGGCTCAAACGCAACCTGCATAGGTGTGAACCTAGCTTAAGGGAGTATTTATAAAACATTTACAGAGCTATTTGTCCTGCAAAACTGCATTTACATTCATCCTGTGTGATGTAATGTTATTAGGCTATTTTCTCTCCAGGATGGATGTTGTTCATTCATACAGAATAGAGTGAATCAGGAAAATGCCACATTATGGCCACTAGACGGAGCTAACGATCAAAGGAAACCAATATTTTTTTTACATAGGACTTACTAATACGACCATAAAGCCAGACAGACAAGTGTCACAAATACTTTATTGAATCAACTTCATTGTTATTTATGATCAATGTGTTCTTCATTGTGTTTTAGTGGAACTTTCCTCTACTGATGCTGATCTGGAAGATGGCTCCAGCTTTGTGCTGCGGAAACACACTGGTGATAAAACCTGCAGAACAGACCCCTCTCACATCTCTCTACATGGGATCGCTAATAAAAGAGGTGGGGCTGATAAATCTGATATATATAAAAATATAAAATCTCTCTCTCTCTCTATATATATATATATATATATATATATATACAGTGTATATATATATATATTATTATTTTTTTTATTTATATATATCTATATATATATATATATATATACACACACACAGTGTTCAGCATAAATGAGTCCACCCCAACAGATTTGTCAGAAAACCTTTACTTTCTTTTCAGAATCAACATTTTCTATGGGACACTATACTACAAAATACTCCCACAAATGAGGGCCGTTGATTGCAAACAAGATATGTGATTTGCACACACAAAAGAGAATTTTTCCTAACAAATTAATTCAAGACCATGCTGCAAAAATGAATACACCCCAATGAAAATCTTAGGAGCAAAGCTAAATTTTAGACAACTTAATCCTAATTAACAAGAATTCAACTACAGGTGAGTCTGATTATTCATTAAACAGGTGTCCAGCAGTTGATTATAAAAGGGCATTACTTAGAAAAGAAGACCCCTCCCATTTCATGTTGTCAGCAATGGCACCACATGGAAGAGAAACGTCACAAGACCTGGAAAAGAACATTTCTTTACACAAGATAGGTGAAGGCTACAAGAAGATCAGCAAAGCTCTACTTATCAGAATATTGAAGCAAAAGTGATATAAAACTTTAACAAAGATGGAACTGCAACCATCTCACAGAGACGTCCAGGCCATCCACGGAAGCTAACACCTCAACAGGAGCGTCTTCTGATGAGAAGGGTTGAAGAAAATCACCATACAAGTTCACTGCAGTCAGCTAAAGAAGTAGAAAGCCAAACTGGGGTGATTGTTTCCCATGACACAATACGGCGTACACTGCAGAGGAATGGCATGCATGGGTGTTGTCCACGAAGGAGGCCTCTCCTAAAGCCCATGCACAAAAAAGCCCACCTAGAATTCGCCAGGGCCCATGCTGAAAAAGAAGACTACTGGGACTCTGTACTCTGGAGTGATGAGAACAAGATAAATGTTTTTGGAACTGATGGCTTCAAAATTGCAGAGTGCCACAAAGGTGAGGAATACAAATAAAAATGCATGGTGCCTACAGTGAAACATGGTGGTGGCCGTGTCCTTCTATGGGGCTGCATGAGTGCTGCTGGTGTCGGGGAGCTGCATTTCATTCATGGTATCATGAATTCACAGATGTACTGCTCTATATTGAAAGAGAAGATGCCACCATCACTCCATGCCCTTGGTCATTGTGCGCTTTTCCAACATGACATTGATCCAAAACAAACATCTAAGGCCACTGTTGCATTTCTGAAGAAGAACAGGGGGAATGTGATGGGAATTTCGAAGAGACAAGTTGAGCATTACTCTCCATCCAGCATCCAGGCTCTAAAAGAGGTTGTTCCTAAAGAATGGAAAAAGATCGACGTTGCAATATATCAACAACTTATTCATCCCATGCCTAGAAGACTTGGTGCCGTCCTTACAAATCATGAAGGTCATACAAAATACTAGATGGAGTAGTTTTTGTTGTGGGGTGGATTCATTTTTGCATCAACTAATTTGAGTAAAACTGAAGATTTTGTAATCTAAGTTATACTATTAACCTTCCTTTGATGTAATGAGCCGAACAAATGTTCTATAAAACTCAGTTTTGTCAAAATTTTGGAAATTGCTCGTGTTCATTGAGATATTGATTAAAATCTTCCTTTTCAAAAGGGGTGTACTCATTTACTCTGAGCACTATATATATATATATATATATATATATATATATATATATATATATGTATATTTATGTGTGTATATGTACAGAACTGTGCAAAAGTTTTAGGCAGGTGTGAAGAAATGATGTAAAGTGAGAATGCTTTCAAAAATCATATTTTAATTGTTTATTTTTATCAATTTACAAAATGCAAAGTGAGCGGACAGAACAAAAATCTAAATCAATATTTGGTGTGACGACACTTTGGCTTTAAACCAGCATCAGTTCTTACACTTTGTATACTTGCACAAAGTCAGGGATTTTGTAGGATAAGCCCTGGTTCACACTGAATGCAACTTTGAAATCACTCTTCTTCACTTGAAGGAGAGGGATTTCAAAGCCGCAGGTTAGTGTGACTTCAGGTGCCACTTGCCAGACATCTGTGCGAAAATAGGGCAGGAACTACTTTCAAAATTGGTAGAACTCCAACTCCAATTTAAACGATTCCATTGCCGTTTCGATTGCAACAGGGCACGACTTCTCATGAAATTTGGAATAGTCAAATTGAACGGCAAGTCACACCGGTGTGAACCAGGGCTTGGAGTCAGGTACATGATTAACCAGGTATACCAAGTAGGTGCTAATGACCATCAATTTCATATTTAGGTTGAAACACAGTCATTACTTGAAAGAAAAAAAGGTGCATAGGAAGCTTAAAACTGGGTGAGGAATAGCCAAACTCTGCTACTAAGGTGAGGAAGTGGAAGACGGTTCCATGTCACAGATCACACCATGGCAAGACTGAGCACATCAACAAGACACAAGTTAGTTATACGGCATCAGCAAGGTCTTTCCCAGGTAAAGATTTCAAAGCAGATTGGGGATTCAAGATGTGCTGTTCAAGGAAAAAAACAGGCAAAAATGAGGACAGGAGACGCAATGGTCGGCGAGGGAAACAATGCAGCAGATGAAAGATACATCATGCTTACTTCTCTTTGACATCAGAAGATGTTCAGCAGTGCCATCAGCACAGAACTGGCAAAAAATCAGTGGGACCTGGGTACACCCATCTACTGTCAGGAGAAGTCTGTCCAGAAGTGGTCTTCATGGAAGAAGGCCAAAAATTCATACAGTGAGGAACAGAAGTATTTGAACACCCTGCAATTTTGCAAGTTCTCCCACTTAGAAATCATGGAGGGGTCTGAAATTCACATTGTAGGTGCATTCCCACTCTGAGAGACAGAATCACAGGAAATCACATTGTATGATTTTTAAAGAATTTATTTGTCTTGCACTGCTGAACATAAGTATTTGAACACCTAAGAAACAGCAAGACTTCTGGTTCTCAAAGACCTGTTACTGTGCCTTTAAAAAGTCCACCTCTACTCCACTCATTAATCTAACTTAGTAGCACCTGTCTGAGCTCTTTAAAGACACCTGTCCACCCCACAGTCAGTCAGATGCCAACTACTACCATGGGCAAGACCAAAGAGCTGTCAAAAGACACCAGAGACAAAATTGTGGTACTCGACAAGGCTGGAAAGGGCTACGGGGCAATTGCCAAGCAGCTTGGTGAAAATAGAGCAATGGAGCAATTGTTAGAAAATGGAAGAGGCTAAAGACGATTGTCAGTCTGCCTCGGACTGGGGCTCCATGCAAGATCTCACCTCGTGGGGTATCACTGATGATAAGAAAGGTAAGGAATCAGCCCAGAACTACAAGGGAGGAGCTGGTCAATGACATGAAGAGAGCTGGGACCACAGTTTCAAAGGTCACTGTCGGTAGAACACTACGTCGTCATGGTTTCAAATCATGCATTGCACGGAAGGTTCCATTGCTCAAGTCATCACATGTCCAGGCCCGTCTGAAGTTTGCCAATGACCATCTGGATGATCCAGAGGAGGCATGGGAGAAAGTCATGTGGTCAGATGAGACCAAAGTAGAACTTTTTGGTCTAAACTTCACTTGTTATGTTTGGAGGAAAAAGAAGGATGAGTTGCATCCCAAGAACACCATCCCTACTGTGAAGCATGGGGGTGGTAACATCATGCTTTGGGGGTGCTTTTCTGCGAAGGGGACAGGACGACTGCACTGTATTAAGGAGAAGATGAATGGGGCCATTTATTGTGAGATTTTGAGCAACAACCTCCTTCCCTCAGTCAGAGCATTGAAGATGGGTCCTGGCTGGGTCTTCCAACATGACAACGACCCGAAGCACACAGTCAGGAGAACCAAGGAGTGGCTCCGTAAGAAGCATATCAAGGTTCTGGAGTGGCCTAGCCAGTCTCCAGACCTAAATCCAATAGAACATCTTTGGAGGGAGCTGAAACTCCGTGTTGCTCAGCGACAGCCCCGAAAACCTGACAGATCTAGAGGAGATCTGTGTGGAGGAGTGGGCCAAAATCCCTGTTGCAGTGCAAACCTGGTCAAGAACTACAGGAAACGTTTGACCTCTGTAATTGCAAACAAAGGCTTCTGTACCAAATATTAACACTGATTTTCTCAGGGGTTCAAATACTTATGTTCAGCAGTGCAAGACAAATAAATTCTTTAAAAATCATACAATGTGATTTCCTGAATTTGTTTTTTAAATTCTGTCTCTCAGGGTGGGAATGCACCTACAATGTGAATTTCAGACCCCTCCATGATTTCTAAGTGGTAGAACTTGCAAAATCGCAGGGTGTTCCTCACTGTATGTTCGATGCGGAAACAAGGGTAAGCGACACAACTATGCACAAAAACATAGCAACTGGGGTGCAGAAAAATAGTAGCAGGTGCTCTGGACTGATGAATCAAAATTTGGCTGCAGCAGGAGGCAGTTTGTTGGCGAAGGGCTTGAGAACAGTACAATAATGAGTGCCTGCAAGTAACTGTGAAGCATGGTGGAGGTCCCTTGCAAGAGATTCAGTCAGGATCAATGGTGTCCTCAATGCTGAGAAATACAGGCAGATGCTCATCCATTATACCATCAGGGAGGCGTGTGATTGGCCCCGAATTTTTTCTGCAGCAGGACAATGACCTCAAACATACCGCCAATGTCATTAAGAACTATCTTCAGTGTAAAGAAGAACAAGGAGTCCTGGAAGTGATGGTTTGGCCCCCACAGAGCCCTGATCTCATCATCATGGAGTCTGTCTGGGATTACATGAAGATACAGAAGGATTGGAGGCAGCCAACATCCAGAGAAGATCTGTGCTTAGTTCTCCAAGATGTTTGGAACAACCTACCTACCTGAACTGTGTGTATGTCTACCTAGAAGAATTGAGGCAAAGGGTGATCACATCAAATTGTGATTGGATTTGGATTTCTCTTCTGTTCATTTAATTTCCATTTTGTTCATTGATACAAATAAACTATTAATGCTTCTATTTCTGAACGTATTCTTCATTTACAGCATTTTTTCACACCTGCCTAATACTTTGGTACAGTACTGTATATATACACACACAGTATATGTAGCTCTTTCTCTTTCTGTTCTTGCAGGCCGGATTCCCTCCAGGAGTTGTTAATATCTTACCAGGATTCGGACCAACAGCTGGAGCTGCCATCTCCCACCACCCTAACATAGACAAAGTTGCTTTTACAGGTTCCACAGAGGTTAGTACAATACACAGTGGAAAAAACCTACATGGAAGCAAAATATATGTAAAATATATATTAAAAATATTCTTCCCAAATATATTGCCATATATTTGCAATACTACAATTTTGGCCATATTCAATATATTTATATATATATATATATATATATATATATATATATATATATATATATATACACTGCATGTTGAAATGCGTTTTTATTACAAAATATATGAAAAATATTTTTAAAAATATATTTCAAATACACTGTATGTCTTTAAAAATATAAATCTACATTTTTGGAATGCATTTACAAATATATGTAAAAATATGTTAAAGTGACTTTTTATATGTTGAAAAAAAAATGAGGAAACCTCTTGCTTTGGGGGGCATTCAAGCAGGCTCACTCCTGAGCCACGCAGAGCATGGCTCGGCTCCGCCCCCTGCTCCTCATTGACTCACTGGCTGTGATTGACAGCAGCAGGAGCTGATGTGCACCCGCTGATGTGTGAGCCAATGAGAAAAGAGAGACCCGAGAGAGACGCTGCTCTAATGCACATCACTGGATGGAGATGGCGCTCAGGTAAGTGTAAGGGGGGCTGAGTGGGGAGCTTCTAGTTCCACTTTAACCTACCTGGACTAATATGAAATATGGACAATGGGGTCACAGGGGACTGCTTTCCCAAAGTTACCTGGGCACTTAAAGTGTTACTAAACCCACAACAGTACAATCAGTCTGTAGATGCAGTAAAGCATGCTTGTTATACTCACTGTGGAACCTAAGGTGTTAATCCTCCGCATTGTGTAAAAAGTCTGTTTGATCCAGTCTTCTTTTATCTTCCCCTTCTTCCAGTGTACCCCTCTTATCTCCAGACATATTGTGTGGAGACACTCTGCACATGCTCAGTTTGGTGTTTATTGCTAGAGAGGTTTTTTTTTTTCTTAGGAGAGTGCATGTGATCAGCACATGGCCAATCAGCACTGTCCAGACAGAGGTCAGGGATCCTGCATCCTTCTAGAGCAAAATGAAAACTCCCCCTATAAGCTTTAACCAGTGCTTGGCTGGACACTGATAGAAGTCACAAGACTGCTATATACTGCTGATGAGAAACGGTATTTAGCAGTTTATATGTACTGAAATAATTGCATTTCCATGTTCTGTGTACTGCAGGAGACCAGATATAGTGAATGCAGGGTCTGGGGAGAGCGGATATAGTGAATGCAGGGTCCGGGGAGACCAGATATAGTGAATGCAGGGTCCAGGGAGAGCAGATACAGTGAATGCAGGGTGCGTGGAGACCAGATATAGTGAATGCAGGGTCCGGGGAGACCAGATATAGTGAATGCAGGGTCCGGCGAGAGGGTCCCAGATATAGTGAATGCAGGGTCCGAAAATACCGGATATTGTGAATGCAGGGTCCGGGGAGAGCGGATATAGTGAATGCAGGGTCCAGGGAGACCAGATATAATGAATGCAGGGTCCAGGGAGAGCGGATATAGTGAATGCAGGGTCCGGGGAGGATATAGCACCAGGAGAGCGGATATAGTGAATGCAGGGCAGGGTCCAGGAGACCAGATATAGTGATGAAGGGTCCAGGGAGAGCGGATATAGTGAATGCAGGGTCTGGGGAGACCAGATATAGTGAATGCAGGGTCCGGGGAGACCAGATATAGTGAATGCAGGGTCTGGGGAGACCAGATATAGTGATGCAGGGTCCAGGTTTAGTAACACATGGTGGGACCCACAAGCACACAGGTGCCTTCTTAGCAGCTAGTTAGCTAGGGAGACACCCACACCCAGGCAAGAGGCTAGTGGCTTGGTAACTGGACCAAGCAGAGTACAATAAGTCCCTTTAAAGAAAAAGAACCATTGTTTACATTTTGGACGTCCTCTTTAAAAAAAAAGGGTTCATTATCATTTTAATCATGGTTCAATGAATGCCTTAAAACCTTAAAGCAGAAGAGGCACAGAAAGTAATCTAGCAAAAACAGAGAGGGCACAAACGCCTAGTGCATTAACTTCTATTAGATGAAGCAAATAAAAAACATACTCACATGCCGATAGGCTGAAAGCATATAAACCACACAAGGCACTAAATATAGACGTCACCTAACAACTCCAACTGGTGAATGGATGACTGAGCCAGCTGACGGGTTTCGGGGAAGCTATAGGCCATAAGAAGGAAAGGGGGCCAGTTCCCCGAAACCCGTCAGCTGGCTCAGACACACATTCACCAGTTGGAGTTGTTAGGTGACGTCTATATTTAGTGCCTTGTGTGGTTTATATGCTTTCAGCCTATCGGCATGTGAGTATGTTTTTTATTTGCTTCACCTAATAAAGTGCTAAAGATAATGCACTAGGCATTTGCACCCTCTCTGTTTTTGATTTTTTTAGTACTGGATTTCTCCGATTCGAGGAGGGCTGCACCGCCTACGCTTCCAGTTTCAGTTGCTTGACTTTGGCATAGGATGAGGGCCTCCACCATTTTTGAGCGAAGTTTTTTTGTCTGTCTATAGAGAGTAATATATCAAAATATCTGAAGGTCATTTCTGTTGAATATTAGCAACCCTCACAGTTTCCAGAATTCTGATTAAATTGGTAAAGAGTACCTGTCACCAAAAAAACATGGAGGCTGCCATTGCTGACCTCTCCTCTGAAAGTGTTTGCCTGGCACCCATGCTCCCACTTCAGTAGTCACTGACCAGGATCCAAGGATCTCTGACACATGTACTCAGGATCCGTGAGCCAGAAAGTATTGGGGACAGTAAGGCTACATTCACACCTAGGCATCACGTTTTCAAGCGTTTTTTGGAGTGGAATTGTACATTTTTGTAGCTTTTGTCAGTCATTTTTCAACTAAAGATGTGGAGTGGTGCTAAAAAAGGGGCGGAGAGCTGCTAAAAAAAGGGGAGGAGAGCTGCTAAAAAAGGGGCGGAGAGCTGCTTAAAAAAGGGGAGGGGAGCTGCTAAAAAAAGGGGAGGGGAGCTGCTAAAAAAAGGGGCGGAGAGCTGCTAAAAAAGGGGCGGAGAGCTGCTAAAAGAGGGGCAGAGAGCTGCTAAAAGAGGGGCAGAGAGCTGCTAAAAAAGGGGCGGAGAGCTGCTAAAAAAGGGGAGGAGAGCTGCTAAAAAAAAAGGGGAGGAGAGCTGCTAAAAAAAGGTGAGGGGAGCTGCTAAAAAAAGGGGCGGGAGCTGCTAAAAAAAGGGGGCGGAGAGCTGCTAAAAAGGGGCGGGTAGCTGCTTAAAAAAAGGGGCAGAGAGCTGCTAAAAAAGGGGCGGAGAGCTGCTAAAAAAGGGGTGGAGAGCTGCTAAAAAAGGGGAGGAGAGCTGCTAAAAAAATGGACAGAGAGCTACTAAAAAAGGGGTGGAGAGCTGCTGTTTCAGCAGAAAACGTGTTACCAAATGCTTGAGAAAACGCTAGAAAAAAGCTTGTGTCATATAGATCCCCTGTATGCCTCTCTGTGCAGCAGTTGAAAGCCAGCAGGAGGGAGAGAAGAAGTCAGCTGATGCAGAGAGAACCATACAGGGGATCGGTTCCAGTTATTGCCCCCGTCATACCGATCACCCTCCCTGCCCACACCCAACTCACCCCTCTGTTGGCCTGGGCTCCGTACAGAAGGACAGGGGGTACCCCCTTATCCACGGCCGTGCACGTAGGGGTGCCACTGATTCTGTAATGGCACTCCCATGCATTGGCCAACGCGCACATTTCCATGCCTGCCAGACCACATGGTGCAGCATCATGCGGTTCAGTATGGCACGATTTTACAAATAAGGTCCGAGACTTTCTTTTTTCGTGTTTCTCGTGGATAGGGAAACCCATTAAAATGAATGGGCTGCCCTTCACACAATACACAGGAAGGCATGAAAAAAAGCGTAGGTCCGCACGCACTAGATTGCACCATACTGGTGTGAGCCTAGCCTAACTCGAGGTTTATTGTCCAGCAACAAGCATCTTGAAAATGCGTTCCTTGGCCAGCTTTGTATTGGGCTCATGACTGCTCTACCTACATAGGGAATAGTTCGATCCAAGCAGATCCCCAGACCAGAGTTTTGTCATTGTGTGTAGATGACACAGGTATTGCCGTTCCGTTGATGTTGATATATCCTCTATCTGCACACAGGTTGGTAAACTGATTAAAGAAGCAGCTTCTGCCAGCAATTTGAAGCGCGTCACCCTGGAACTTGGCGGGAAAAATCCATGTATTGTGTTCGCAGATGCAGACCGTGAGTTACATCCGATACGTTTGTTACGTTCCTGAAAAGCGATCAAAAATTGAATATAAAACACTGTAATATTGTAGTTAAACTAAATAAATGCATACATATGCCAATGAAGAACAAAATTAGTTTTTTTTTAATAAACTGAGTGAGTACAGTAATCAAAAAATGGGTGTAAAAAACTGTAATATGCAGGGGTGTCCCTAGGGTTGGTGTCAGCCGGTGCGGTAACACTTGGTGACACCCCCTCTGAAGATCCCCGCAGAATGGATCAGATCTGCGGATTGAGCATAATGGCTCAGACTCCAATCCATTATGCTCAATCCGCAGATCCGATCCATCCTGCGGGGATCGTCGGCTTGCTTTACAACTTACCTTTTTAAGGAGCGGGTCCTGTGTCACCCCGTATAGGTTGCATGCCGACGATCCCCGCAGGATGGATCGGAATCTGCGGATTGAGCATAATGGAGTCCGATCCATTATGCTCCCCAATCCGCAGATCCGATCCATCCTGCGGGGATCGTCAGCTATACAGGGTGACACAAGACCCGCTCCATGAAAAGGTAAGTTGTAAAGAAAGCCGACGATCCCCTCAGAATGGATCGGATCTGTGGATTGGGGAGCATAATGGATCGGACCAGGGGCGGACTGACAACTCATGGGGCCCCCGGGCAATAGGGGATCATGGGGCCCCTGTGTCCTTACCCAAACTCATGAAAAAAAGCCTATAAAAAAGGTACCAGGGGCATCTCATGGGGCCCCCTACTGACCCTGGGCCCTCGGGCAGTGCCAGAGTCTCCAAATGGTCAGTCCGCCCCTGGATCGGACTCTAATCCATTATGCTCAGTCCGCAGATCCTGCGAGGATCGTTGGCTTGCTTTACAACTTACTTTTTCATGGAGCGGGTCCGGTGTCACCCCGTGAGGTAGGTGTCACCCGGTGCGGCGCGCACCCCCTGCACCTACCTAGGGACGCCTCTGGTAATATGTGGTCAAATTAACCTAAAAAATGTCATGCATTATCTATGAGCCCTTTTAGGAGACGATTTCCTCTCATATACTTGCAGCTTTGTGACTTCAGTTGATTGGGGATTTGCGCGGTTTGATCTTACATACATTTGTTACATTACTAACATTAGAAGAGAAAACACTACCTTATGGCTGCTTCCTTCACACTGCAGCGCTTCTAAAATGTGCCATGCGTTTTTTTTTAAAAAAGCACAGAGCGTCTTAAATGGGTTGAGTTACGCACATATCGGCAAGTAGCTGGTAGTTAAGGATGCGTTAGGTACTGACTCCTAACTAAACCAGCTATTCATTGGTTGTTAAGGGTTGCATGGCGGTGTGGTTGTTAACCACTTCCCGTCTGGCCCATGTACATAAACGGCCGGACGGGAGCAGTGCAGGAGCGGGTTGCCATTTATAAACGGCACCCGCATTTACAGCCTGTGAGCACTCCCTGGGAGCGCGCGGCACTGCGATCCGGTGCCAGGAGGACACAGCAGAACACCGATCGCTGAACGGGACCTTTGTGTGAGGTCCCGATCATGTGATCACTGATTGGCCAATCAGTGATCACATGAATAGTAGTAAGCAAGATGTCACTTCCTGACATCATTGCTCACTACTAGTGAAATCTGTGAATGATCACAGAGATCACATGGTACAGGACTATTCACAACAGCATTGTACCATGTGACAAGCTGTGACCAATCACAGCTCTCACAATAATTCTCAATGGCTGCAGGAATGCAGCCAGAGAGAAGCAGAAATGATTGCTTTTACAGCCTTTATGGCAGTAAAAAAAAAAAAAATCTTCATCACCCCTCACAAGTAGTACAGTGTCACCATGGTGACACTGTACTGCTAGGGCGACGGTATGTTAAAAAAAATAAATAATGATATAAAAAAATACAATAAAAATGTAAAAAAAATTTAGAAAAATTATAATTTTTGGTTATTAACTAATTTTGTTTTTTGGTTTTTTTTTTTACTAAAAAGATAACTGAATACATTTTGGCCAAGATTTATGAAGAAAGAAAAACACTTTTTTTCAAAATTTTTGGACTTTTTCATTTATATAGCAAAAAAATAAAAATCCCAGTGGTGAATAAATATCACCAAAATAAAGTTTTATCTGTCTCAAAAAAATGCTAAAAATTTCATATGGGTACAGTGTTGCATGACCGTGCAATTGTCATTCAAAGTGTGATAGCACTGAAAACTGAAAATTGGCCTGGACAGGAAGGAGGGGGTGGAAGGGGGGGGAAAGTGTCTGGACTTAAAGTGGTTAAGGAGCCGGAACCCGCCGGCATCCTTAAGGCTACTTTCACAATGATCCGCCGCAAAAAAGCATTTTTTTCCGCGTTTTTGATTGCTTTAAAAGTGGCATTTTTCATATTTTTCTGATCGTGTATATGGGGTTGTGCCCATGCTATAAGTAAGGCTTCAGTCGAAACGCGTTAGCATGTTACTGCTGTATCTTGCTATGTAGCCAATAAACAATTGTTCCAATGGATGTTACGAGTGGCCAGCTTCAATGTATCAGCAGTAGTGATTACTACTACAGGACTTGCAGTTTCTCCAAGGATCGCTGGATACATACATTGTACCAAACTGGACCAACATACCTATACAATACCTGGAGTTCAGATCTAATTTATAACTAAAAGCAAAACTTTTTTAGTATTGGAGATGGATTAGAACCCCTGTCAGGATTTTATTGTTGTCTGTGCTCCCATTATTATTATTATACAGTATTTATAAAGCGCCAACAGTTCGCTCAGCGCTGTACATTACAAAGGGGGACAGAACATGTGACAGAACAATACCAATACAATGCAAAACATGAGGGGATCGAGGGCCCTGCTCTTTGGAGCTTACAATCTAGGAGGGAGGGGATGGTGGTACAGGAGGAGATAGCTGTGGGGGATGGAGTGGTAGGAAGAGTGGAGGAGGTCGGCAGGTTAGCAGGGGGTGGGGTAGGCTTCCCCGAAGAGATGGGTTTTCAGGGTGCGCCTAAAGGGGAGGAGAGTAGGTGATAATCTGATGGGTTGGGGCAGGGAGTTCCAGAGGATGGGTGACACCCTGGAGAAGTCCTGGAGGCGGGCATGGGAGGAGGAGACCAGGGAACTTTAGGGAGATTCACCCCCTTTACTTGTAAAAGAAAACCCAAATTTTGGGTTGTCCCCAGAACAGTAAAAGAGGGGGAATCGTCCAATGGGGACACTAGATCTGGTCACCTGGGGAGCTCAATGGAGCCTCTTAATTTGCAGGGATTTCCTCTCACTTCCTATTTTGGCTATGGCATAGGAAGTAAAGGGAAATCTCCCCAATGGGACGCATATGGCAAAAAAAAAAATCTGACAGGGGTTGTAACCCTCCCTTACTCTATCCAAAATAGAAAAAAAATGCCTATAGTTCTACTATAACTAATGGTAGAAGATGATTTCCCAATATTCCAATCCAATGTTCTCTGTATTGCAGTGGAGCTGGCTGTAGAATGTGCCCATCAAGGGGTTTTCTTCAACCAAGGCCAGTGCTGCACGGCAGCCTCTAGAGTCTACGTGGAGGAATCTGTGTACCCAGAGTTTGTGAGACGCAGCGTGGACAATGCCAAGAGACGGATAATTGGAGATCCATTTGATTTCAAAACAGAGCATGGTCCTCAGGTATAGCCAGATCCACATATACGGATATCATTTACAGAAATATATATACTGTAGTGTTAGTGGTGTATTTTACTGCCCTAGGCAACACTAAAATTGGGCGCCCACCACCACCACCAACCCCCTCGACACTTGTCGCCACTAAACTTGGGTGCCCCCCCACTACCGCTGCCAGCACCAAAGATCCCCCGCCACTCTCTGCCAACCCCACAACCCCCCCAGGACCCCGCTGCCACTCTCTGCCAAATACGGCTCACCCGCAGCACTAACCTTAATCTCTCCAGAAAGCAGCCTGCCATCCCCAGAGCCAATCCCAGTGTCTTCCTTCCTTGTGCTGGAAGCTTACACCCTCCAGCAGCGTGCAGCCTCCTTGAATTCCATGGCGGAGCCTCATCAGGTCTCCATCCCTGCCACGTGTGTCTTCTTCTGGGGGGGTGGCGCCCTAGGCAAATGCCTTGTTTGCCTTGTGGTAAATACACCCCTGTGTAGTGTGCCAGTCTCCCCTTCCATTTTCTGTCAGTAATCTGGTGGTCTTCGGATGGCCCACATTTGATCCTGGAATAGGTATAGGTGAATGATCCCCACTGTAGCAGAATTCAAATGCTTGTGCTTGGAAGTAACGGTAAAATTGCGCACTCACCAGAAGCGCATAGGTAATGCGCATATAAATGTATCCACCATGGCCACTTAGGCAGGTGGGGTATGTCAGGCGTCTGGTGAACTTCCTTCAGGGTATGGGCCATCTTTTAATCAGGTCAGTGCTGCATTAACGCCGCATTACTATATACCATGTTTTACCATATCGTTTGAAATAAAAGCTTTTTACAGTACTACACTATGGGCACTTCTTTTGTGGCTCTTTCCTGGAGCTGTTAAGCCTACAGATGATCCTTAGCTAACCAGCACCCAGAGGAGGGAAGCCCTGTAACCAGGCTGAGCACCCATCCATCCTAAAGGGGACCTCTGGATGAGCAGATTTGCACTTTAAATCCCAAGATTTACTGCTGTGCTGGCCCATACCCTGAAGGAAGTTCACCAGACGCCTGACATACCCCGCCTGCCTAAGCGGTCCAATGTGGATACATTTATATGCGCATTACCTATGCGCTTCTGGTGAGTGCGCAATTTTACCGTTACTTCCGAGCACAAGCATTTGAATTCTGCTACAGTGGGGATCCTTCACCTATACTTATTATATGAACTTTTATTATCTTATTATCCTATTATCCTATGAGTTATTTTATTAGCGCTGCAGTTTTTATTTATACAGTTTTATCAAGAATCACATGGTTACCTTTAGTGCTACAGCTGCTATACTAAGAGCGCTCACTTTGTCTTACCATTTACTTGATCCTGGAATAGGGTTGTCTTGTCACCTCTTCCCTTTAAAACCAAACACATATTAATTTCACAGGTTCTGTGGCTGATTAAAGTGCTAATTAGAGCCTTATCCGCATTAAATTAGCCTTTACCTATGTAAATAATATGTGTTTGGTTTTAAAGGGATGAGGAGGCAACCCTACCCTGTAACCCCATTCCTGATGCCTCTTTAGGGAGATTTACTAAAGTCGGAGCACTCAGAATCTGGTGCAGCTGTGCATGGCAGCCAATCAGCTTCTAACTTCATCTTGTTCCGTTAAGCTTTGACAATACCTGGAAGCTGATTGGTTTCTAAGCAGAGCAACACCAAATTTTTGCACTCTCCACTTTTAGCAAATCTCCCCCTTAGAGTCAAGTATTTTGGCCAACTTGAGTCTTCTTGGTCAGCTTGAGTTGGAGTGTTCCCAGTGCGGTCTTTATTGTGCTTGCCCTAGTGATCCTAATAGTGAATGTGACTTTTCTTTTGGGTCCTCTTAGGTTGACCAGGAGCAATTCGATAAAGTTCTGGAATACATACAAAGTGGGAAAGATGAAGGAGCCAAATTGGAGTGTGGTGGTTCTGCCGTTGGGGAACGAGGATTTTTCATTAAGCCGACTGTCTTCTCTGAAGTGACCGACGACATGAGGATTGCCAAGGAAGAGGTAATCTAGTCTAACACACACCATTTACAGTCAAGTGTCCCAGATAGTCTTTTTTTCATGCAGGTAGAAGGCTCTACCTCCTATCTGAAAAGTGATACATGGTAGGATTTAGAACTTGGATGGGGTAAGGGGTGTATGGAATGCCCAGGGGGAAATGGCAAATGAGGACAAACTACTTAGCAACTATGTACGTCAGCCTTCCTAACCCTCTTGTATTGAACTGTATTGTCTCCCATTATTTTTTTAAAGCGCTGAGCAAACTGTTGGCGCTATATAAATCCTGTATAATAATGTCTCTATTGCAAAATTTCTCTTCTGGAGAGCTAGCCAGCATTTCCCGTAATACCACCTCAGACCCCAGATGACTCCTCTCCTCATCTAGCTGTACTGAGTGAATCCCTGGGCAGGGGATCCAGTGCCTACCACTGCAGTGTGAAACAGTCCCGGATAAGATTGCAAATCCAGTTTTCCACTAGAGTGCTCCTTTCCCCTTACTGGGTCCAGGGGGTGCAGGTTTACTCACTTGGTCCCTCTCCTGTGCTGCTGGTGGGTCGGGGGCTGCTACCAGGCCTGCTAGCTGGGCCGCTCCTTCCCTGCTACACAGGTGATCCTTTCTCAGAGAGCCGGTGAAGTCCCAGGTTTTCAGTCCTCCAAGGTCCTCTGCCTGCAGGTTAGCCTCTCTCCATCTGGGCCCCCCCCTCACAGACTCCTGCCTCCAGTCTTACATCCTTCTCTCTCTCTTCCACCCAAACTCTCCTGCAGCTGAGCAGGCTCAGCTATTCTTAAAGGTTGTCCTGGCTCCTTGCCAAGTCTCCTGTTGGGATTGGCCAGGATCCTCTAAGAGTACAAGCCAGTCACTCTTCAGATCTGCCCACTGCTCCTAGACCTTTCTCCAAAGTTGTAGAACAGGGCAAAATTCCAGAGGGGCTGGCCTGCAGAACCTCTCAGCCCTGACCACAATTTGACCTCCCTCTCTCTGACTGTTGAACCAGGCTGCCTCTGCCTAACAATTAGTATCTAGCTCCCCCCAGCTATCTAGGAGTGTGATATATATATATATATATATATATATATATATATATATAATTTTGTTTTGTTTTTGCTTCACTTTGAGATGCTTGTGCAATCATTCAAGATTCATTGAGAGGTGCAGTTGATCTTTTTAACATTCACCTGAGCAGCTTCATGCGGGGTTTGATTTCCCATAGACATGAGAATGCAATACGTGTGTGACATGATGAGAAGGCCATAAACACAGGCCCCTAAAATGCCAATAGCCGTAGCACTATGGCTAGCAAAGTCAAGTGTTAAATCAATGGCGATTACATCTTGCCTTGGGATGCTGCACATGCAAAATGTCGACACAATCTTAAACTGCTAAAACATTTTTTGAAAGTTTCAGCATCCATTTAATTATTATTATTATTATACAGGATTTATATGGCGCCAACAGTTTGCTCAGCGCTTTACAATATAACGGGAGACAATACAGCAACAATACAGTTCAATACAAGAGGGATAGGAGGGCCCTGATCCTGGGAGCTTACAATCTAAGAGGGAGGGGCTAGTGGTACAAAAGGTAGTATCTGTGGGGGATGGACTGGTTGGAAGAGTAGAAGATTCCATTATTAGCCGAGGGCAGGATAGGCTTCCCTGAATAGATAGGTTTTCAGAGATCGCCTAAAAGTGAGCGGAGTAGGTGACAGTCTGATAAATTGGGGTAGAGAGTTCCAGAGGATGGGGGGGAAGCTCTGGGAGAAGTCCTGGAGACGAGCATGGAAGGAGGAGGCAAGTGAGCTAGAGAGCAGGAGATCTTGCAAGGAGCAGAGAGAGGATGGTTTGGGTGGTATTTGGAGACAAGACCAGTGATGTTAATTTGGGGCAGAGTTCTAAATGGCTTTATATGTTATCGTTAATGTTTTGAATAATGTTTTTAATTAAAGGTTCTCTCTACTATCTTTAACTTATCCCCTCCCCCACCCCTATACTCACATGTCATCACTCCTGATGGGCGGCTCACATTGAGTGGCAGCAGTGGTCAGTCCATTTTTTTTTGTTCCCAGAGTTGGAATTTAATCCAAACTGGAACACTGGTGAAAAAAACTTCCCGGGATGGAATAACCTGTTTAGTGTAACCGTCTTTCTGTGGGCCGGGTATCGGTAACTATCAGTTAATCTCGCATTGTATATCCTGCAGATCTTCGGACCCGTCCAATCCATTCTGAAATTTAAAAGCACAGAGGATGTGATCAAGAGGGCCAACAACACGGGAGTACGGACTGACAGCCGCCGTCTTCACTGAGAGCCTGGATAAAGCATTGAGTGTGGCCTCTGCCCTGCAGTCTGGAACAGTATGGTGAGTATTGGTGTCACTGACATTCAGAGGACATGTGACATCCCTGCTGATGAGCGGTTTATATATAATAGTGGTCAGTTATGCAATGTCAGTTCAGGTATTCTTACAGGTTTATTATAGAAGAACTTTACTCCCACACCACTCATGCCCCTCCCAATTCACAAACTCACCAAGCTAGCGAATCCAGTGTTGCCCCGCTGTCATCCGCTCCAGTGCTGTCACAGGCTGGGTCCCACACCGCCATCTTTGTTGTTGGCGTTATTGGTTGCTGGCTGCCTATTCCAGCCCCATGAATGGAGCATAAATGTCCTGGCTGGGCGAGTTTTGAATGAACATATCACCTAGGCAAACAAAGGAAAAAAAAAGTTAAAAAAAAAAAAAATTGTCATTTTAGACAGTGGGGGGAAGTGGGGAGATGGAATTTAATTTAAAAATGTATCTAAACCAAGAACAAAAATGTATATTATGTACCAAAAAGACCCCCAGTGGGATTTTATTGCAGATGGGGGTCTTTTGGTAATGTTCATGTTGTAAGCTCCCAGGATCAGGGCCCTCCTATCCCTCTTGTATTGAACTGTATTGTTGCTGTATTGTCTCCCGTTATATTGTAAAGCGCTGAGCAAACTGTTGGCGCTGTATAATAATAATAATATAAATCCTGTATAATATAATAATGTATAATAAATAATAATAATAATGTGTTAATTCAGCAAAGAGCAGCCAGATACTCGACCGTTTTGGTTAAAATGTATATTATTGCAGCTTACTGGTCCTTCGATGTGATGACTGCATTAGTTTTCTTTTTTCACACTTATATTCCTTTTTTTAACGTGGTGATCTTACCATTAAAGTGGCTGTGGTCTATGCTTGCTCGTCACTGATTTTATTGACAGGAGTGGGAGCAAGTGACTCCCACTGCTATCAATCTGCCATGTGAGTAGGGACAGAGTCGGGAGAGCCACTGTTCTCATGCATATCGCTAGATGGAGATCCGGCTCAGGTAAGTATAAGGCGGATGGGGGAGGAATGCTCATGCAATAGAAGGTGTTTTACCTTAATGCATTAAATGCATTAAGAGTGCATGTGCAAAAACCCTTAGTCAAGATGGTGGTGCCAGCACCTGGTCGGGGGTGAGGACAAGCGCTGATCCCTGGACAGGTATGTGCCCTAGTATTAAAAGTCAGCAACTTACAGTACCTATTTGCGTATAAAAGACTTTTTGACCCTTGAAAATCTTGCTCAAAAGTCGGGGGTCGTCTTACCTTAAAGCAGAGTTCCACCCAAACGTGGAAGCTCCACTTTTTCTGCCACCCCTCCCCACCCTTGGCTGCCCATATTTGGCACCTTTTTGGGGGGGTGTGCAGAGCGGGTACCTGGTTTTGACAGGTACCATACCTGCTCTCTTACTTCTGGCTCAGTTCGTGCCGGCAGACTGAGCCAGAAGTTCGGCCACTCGCAACCTCTGATGGGCACACTCCACAGGTCCCAGAGGACTGCAGCGCATTCACAAAGTGCATGTGCAGTAGAAACCCTTAGTCAAGATGGTGGTGCCAGCATTCCTTCCCTGGTCGGGGTGATGGGACAGCGCTGGATCCCTGGACAGGTATGTGCCCTAGTATTAGCAGGAAAAGTCAGCAACTACAGTACTTACGTGTGTGTGTTTTTTTCTCACAGATGGTAGGGTGTGGGTCCTCAGGCCTACCCTGAAGTCTAGGGGGAGGATGTGTGGCCTTTTGGTTCCTTTCTTCCCTGTTCCTGGGGGGGGGGTCTCTCTTCGGGAGAGCCCCCTGGCCCAGTACTTGGTGGTTGGCTTTGGCTAGCCACAAGGGAAAGGGGTCCTCCAGGTCTTTTGCCCAGGTGGACCATGTGGAGACCTCAGTCCCTGCCAGGAGCCTCGCACCCTGGGGGATCGGGGTAGAGGTCCTTCCCCTTTGGGGGGTGGACTAAAGCACACCCCTAAGTGCACTTTTTTGTGTTGGTGTTTTGCACTTGCACGTTTTTTGTTCACTTACGGGTTTTTTCGTTTTTTCGCACCTCCGCGGACTTAAAAAAAAAAAGCTTGTAGCTGCTGACAATTAATCTTTTTTTTTTGGTGGGGGGGAAGCCACACTTTTCACATATTTATTTGTAAAGAATTTTGAAAAACATTTATCATTTTCCTTCCACTTCACAATTATGTGCCACTTTGTGTTGGTTTATCACATAAATCCCAATAAAATACATTGACGGTTTTGGTTGTTACATGACAAAATGTGGAAAATTTCAAGGCACTGTAAAAACGAATTGAAGCACGCATGTCTCTGCAAATGAAATCTGTGCATCAGTTTCCATCAGTTTTTCTGCACGTATGGTGTGAATGTAGCCTAACTCTTTAATAAAACATAAAAATTGAACCCCAAACAGTTTTATTTCAAACATTTGCAGCACAGAGGATATGTTCCCAGTCTTTGAAGTGAAGAAGACATTTTACTAAGCCCTGTGTCTGGGACTAACTGAAGAAGCATGGAAGAAACAAGTAGGATCTAGCTAAGATTGAACTAACTAGCACAAAACAGGAAGGAAGAACAGGGGGAGAAACCAAAATCGCATAGCTGCGGCGCAAGACCACCACTAGATGTCAGCATACTACAAAACAATAATAACATGATGCAGGTCAATACAAGATATAAAAAACTACATATACTGTAAGTGGGACAGAGCATGGGCATAAATTCTGGAGTATGCATGAGCAAGAACAGCGTATATCCACGTACAGCTTGTGTACAGCCATTCATTACTATGAGCGTTTCTATGCTGCAGGCTCTTACATCAGAATCCTGCATGTTAATTGGGGTCATGTATACTGCTTTATGCACACTACAATTCCCATAGCCCATCTTAGGAAAGAACAAGAGAGGGTGGCTAGGTTCCTACATACAGTGGGGCCATGAAGAATGAACGTACCCATATGGAAGAAAAATATATCTGAAAATATATTTTAAAAATATTCTTGCCAAATATATTGACAAATTTGAAATGCTACAATTTTGGCCATATTCAATATATTTCAACATATATATATATACACACTGTATGTTGAAATGCGTTTTTATTTCAAAACATATGAAAAATATATTTAAAAATACATTTCAAATATCCTGTATGTCTTTAAAAATACAAATCTACATTTTTGGAATACATTTACAAATATACTGTATGCAAAAATATATGATAAAATTACTTTTTTATATGTTGCAAAAAAATCTGAAGAATAGATTTAAAAACAATGTTTTTAAAAATATTTTTCATATATTTTGTAGCATATAAAAAACGTGCATATATATATATTTATTTATTTAAATTATATATATATGTAAAGCGCTGCAATATATTTGGGAAGATATATATATATATATATATATATATATAATATAAAATATTTTTCTTCATATGGGTAGCCACCCTCTAACAGGAAAACAGATCACAGCAGCAAAAAAAAAAGGAATTTTGGAGGTTTGGAGGAAGCAGGGTACAGTTAGAACAGACATTTCTGAGTGTAGAATACAAACTTCAATAGAACTTTTTCTTAAACCCGAGTTTAGCCCCTTGGCGCTGGCGCCTGCTGGCCCTTTATGGGACGGTGGGCCAGGTCTTAGGGTCATGTGACTGCTGTGATTGGCTGTCATAGCGATTACATGATTGGAAAGCTCCCAACTGCAAGTAGCGATTGCAACCTTTCCGTGGGGCACCGGTAAACGTGCCGGGAGCATGCAGGGCGATCGCTCACAGCACATCTGTTGTTTACATTACATATTTGCGTAGGCGTGTGCTCAGCACCAAGGAGTTAGTGTAATTTTAAGCCGGTTTGTAATCAATGGTTACATAGTTAATCTGGCTGGAAAAAAGACAAAAAGTTCATTCCAGTTCAACCACTGAACAAAAAAAAAAAGAGTTTATAATCCTACACCCACAGTTGATCCAGAGGAAGGCAAAAAACCCAGCAAAGCATGATCCAATTTGCTCCTGCAGGAAAAAAAGTCCTTCCTGATCCCCCGAGAGGCAATCGGATATTCCTGGATCAACGTCACCTTTAAATGTTATATCCAGTTATATTCTGTGTATCCAAGAAACAATCCAGGACTTTCCTACAGCAATCCACTGAGCTGGGCCACAACCAACTCTTGACGGAGTCTATTCCACATAGTGATTTTTCACAGCTCTCACATGTGAAGAAACCTTTCGTGTTTTGTAGATTAAAGCTTTCTCCTTCTCCACCAATGTGCAAAATGAGACGCCCCCTTGTCCTCTGTGATGACCTCAGGTTGTGAATAACTACACCGAGTTCACCTATATGAACCCAGAATGTATTTATACATGGAGCATCATACCCCCCCTTATGTATTATACATGGAGATCATACCCCCCCTTAATGTATTATACATGGAGATCAATATTGCTTTCTTTCCCCCCTTATGTATTAATACATGGAGATCATATCCCCCCTTATGTATTATACATGGAGATATCATACCCCCCTTATGTATTATACATGGAAAGATCATATCCCCCTTATGTATTATACATGGAGATCATATCCCCCTTATAACTGGTATTATACATGGTTATCATATCCCCCCTTATGTAGTATACATGGTTATCATATCCCCCCTTATGTATTATACATGGAGATCATATCCCCCCGTTATGTATTATACATGGAGATCATATCCCCCCCTTATGTATGTATTACACATGGAGATGATCATATCCCCCCTTATGTATGTTATACAATGGAGATCCGTTATCCCTCCTTATGTATTATACATGGAGAATCATATCCCCCCTTATGTACTATACATGGATTATTCATATCCCCCTGATGTATTATACATGAGATCATATCCCCCCCCTTATGTATTATACATGGTGATCATATCCCCCCCTTATGTATTTATACATGGAGATCATATCCCCCCTTATGTATTATACATGGAG